TTTAAAGTGAATCCTGTTCACGTTCGTGCGTTCGACACGTGGATCCGTACCTACCATGCATTTCGTCACAAAAACTTCCGGTCCCGCCCACTGGTCCATGGTCCGTGGAAGATTCCTTTAAAGGTTATTTTTCGATGATTACTGTGTAGCTTTCAATAAAATTTACCGCACCATTCTTTCCGAGGCGCATGCTTATGAAGATTTCACGGCCCAAATAAAGCACTACAGTGTTAGTGAGAGATAAGAGGATATTACACGATAACATTAAGTGGGAAGTGGGTTGTAGTATTAGTTAGTGAAAGCGGTGTATAATTTGTTTTTACAATATGAAACAAGTGTTGGGGCATGAAAAAAAAGAATCAAAATAGCCTAGGGAACATCCTGAATTTGGCTACCTTACTGAGCCGATTTAGATCATGGTATCAGCTTACTTCGAAAAGACGCGTGTTTGAGAGAGATCCTGTTGGTAAGGGAATGAGAGGTGCTAGATACATGAAAGCCGCAAGCAGAAATAGGCTAAGGGAGGCGAAGCAGCCATGGATTAGGACCTTTTTCTGTGTGAATTTTGCAATCCCCACATGTCAACAATCTCTGAATTTGACCGATTCAGTGTTAGATTATCAGCCAGCGGCTCGATATATATCAATCCAATTTACGATTAGCAAAGATACTTCCGTCACTTGGAAATCTACTCACTTGCTCATGTCCGATCGTCGATTTCCAGTGCACTGTATCGCAGATGTGATAGATACTGGCCGATAATTTTTCTTCAGTTCATCTACAGATAATTTCATTGGTCTTTTGACTCCCTTTCCATCGATCGTCAGCCGATGTTTCTTAGGATCGACCTATAGAGAATACAGTAAAAGCGAAACAGCATAGGCCTAAACAGCATACAAAACAATTTTTATCCAATTTGTCTTCGCTTTATTCTTCGGATTCTGAAGTTTTAATGATTACCAGTTCTTCAAAATCAATGCACCAGCACCACTAAAGAAAAAAGGAGAAAAATCTATCCCGCATAAAAGAAATGAGAGTCTGAGCACGGAGGAGAGGGATAGGTGAGAGAGCACGATGGGTGAGAGAGCGCAGAGACCAGCATGCTACAATGAGGAGAATGGAAGCGCTCGAAGCTCCCTCTGCAAGGCCACAGCGTCGTATTAGTAGCGCGCAATTTAGAGGGAGAACCATCGATTCATTCACCTGAACTCTTGGGTTGTGGATCTATTTTCTTGGATTCTACAACGCTAAAAGAATTAAGTACAGGCCACAATTCAGTGAAAAGTAATCACTAAAGGTTTCGCATTCGGCGAATGCCATTCTCCAAACCGTGAATAGTTTATGATACACAGATATCCCATACATCGTCCATGTCAGTATCAGTTTTCCATGTACTCCCCACAACAAAACCCGATAAGTCCGACTAGATGTTGCCCCTGGTCTACCTCACCGAAAGTTGCTAGGGGTATGCTTCGGTGAGGTAGGCCAGGGGGATAATTACGATAAAGAGGGAGCGCATCGGGAAGCATATGCACCACACGAAACAGTTACGCCAAGGAAGCGAGTGTGGCGCTTTCACGACGAAAGGTGCGCTGGTTGCTGAGCAGGACTTCGAAAGCACTCCGCCCCAAAAGCGATCCGCCCACTAGTTTAGTTGGTGATTTGGACGAGCTGCGTTGCCAGCAGCGGCACAACTGGAGCAACTCGATTGGAGCGTGGTTTGGCATGGTGCCACCAAACGCGTTGCGGTGAACTCGTTCATACGTCCGCTTTCTGAGCTGTTACCTGTTCATGAGTGAAAACCAACGGCCAAAAAAGGGGTCCCGTTTTGCGTTTCTCTTTTCATTTCTCCGCTTTTTTCGCCACTGGCATGCCATTGAGCACCACCCCGTCTCCTTTTAACCCTTCTCGAACATATCGTAATCGCTGCTTTTAAGCGAGTTGCCTCTGCCAGTCGGCGCACTTCGCTCCCTCCGGGAGGAGCGTTGTGCCGGGCAACGCGAGGAAGCTGGACGGCTCGGAGTGCCACTGGCACTCGGCAGTATGGTCCGGCATACTGTCCCGTCCTGTCGGAGCGCTGGCAAGCCAGCGTCCGCTACACCCGATGGACGCTGCCGGCTGCAGGTTGCCTTAAGTAACCGGCAGGGTGCCCCTTATGGACGACGGACTACTGGGACGACGACGCGATGGCTTGGCATCTCCAAGCCCGGCAGATGGTGACGGTGTAGGACGTCGATGTTGTTGCCGCCAAGTACACGCCAATGAACGTGGGTATATTTAACGTGTAGTATATTGTGTGTGGGGTTCACTATTAGGGGGAGGGGGCAGGGCTGGGGCCGACTAATTCGCATTTGTTATTGGGTGTTGTTATTATTTAGCCGGGGCGAGGGAGCTCTCTGCCCTTGGGCTGGGAAAGACTGGGGTCGACGGTGGGCCTTGCGCGGGTTGTTGCTACCCCCTTCCTGGGTTAGGAACCCGTGATGCCCCGGGGAGCGGAGGCCATGCTGGGAGGGAAACCAGCGTGGTCCCCGGGAAGGACCCGTAGGATGACGTGTGCCTGGGAAAGGCCACGAGGGCCCCGAACCACCTCGATGCGTCGTGTTGGAGGGTTAGGAGGGCGACCGCTCCCGAACCACGACACCAGATATGAGGACGAGTAAGGTAAGAACGGAAAGGTTGCTAATCGTAAGCACCAACATAAAGATGTGGGAGCAACAAGCTCAAGCGTCTTCAATCCACCCAAGCAATGTCTGTGAGTACCACAAGGGGAAAACTGTGCTCATAGGGATACGTCAACTTAACAGAACAGCGCTATGACTTTCGGAGAAAAGAGGTGAAAATGAGTAGGGGTAAAATAGTAAAGTTCGTGAAGAAGCGATGAGCGTCGAGCGGAGCTATATTTCATCTTACTACTTATAGGAAATGTTCAGCACCAGTATCGACGCTCATTCTTGAATCTAACTTCTCAGATGTTTCATACACTTTCAGATGGAACGAAACCAAAAGGAACTCGACAGTGTCGTCGATAAAATACTCTCGCACAAGTATTCTAACTTGTAAGATACGAATGGGCAACAATACGGTAAACGTAGCCCAGCCCAACCCATACAATTCCTTTAAAAAGGGCAGAAACTATTACCTTATTCAGGAAGATAAGAATAAAGAGATAACAAGCGACCCTACAAACTTGTATCTGACCAGGCGAATACTTCCACGCCGCAACTCAAAATTGGACTAGGTCAATCGATAGATCCCGAAAGGTTGGTTACAATCGTGGGAATCACAACTGTTACGTGACCCTGCCGAAGAAGTACGGGTGGTCAATCTTGGTTGTGAATGCTAGGTTGGTATAATGGTGCTTGATTAAAGCCTCTCTCCAAAGGCATATCGGTGTCCCATACGGAACTATGGACGATCTACCTTGACATTGGCCGCCAACTGGCCACCAATGTTGGAACTTTGAAATGACAAAAATTTGTCTAATGAATTCAGACCCTCGGATCAATTTGATCGTTCGTAACTTCCTTGATTAGGCCTACGTCCTGAGCCAGTTGAACTCCATATTTGCTAAGCAGGCATTCCCAGGCTGCTATCGATCGCCTTAGATTAAAATTCAAAGTTACACTCGAAGTGTAGAAGCCTTCCCCTGGTGAATTCCCTGATTATGGGCGAGAGACAAATGTGTGGCGCATAAAGAAGGGTGAAACAATGCCGGCTGCCTTTTCCACTGTTTTGAGATTCCAAACGCCTATAATGGAAAATCGAATCCTTACTGTAAGGCTTACCAAGGGCCGTGGGAGGTCTTGCAAATTTACGCTCAGACAATTTTCTAGCATATTTGAAAAAATCCTCCAGGTGCCATTTAACAACACATGATTCCCTCACAAGAGAACAGTTTAACCAGGAAAGAACAGTGTGCCCATACCAGAACTTGAACACAAGGGATGAGAGTGCAAAACGCCAACCCAAAAACACTGATGTATTCTCTTGATAAAAAGTAACCTCTGGAACTGGCAGGTGATGTCGAACAAAGAATAACTCGTTTGGAGTGCGAAAATGATCCACAATTCAGTTCTGCAGGGGTTTCAGCGTTGAAGGGTTGCTGTTGGTTCACAACTAAAGCAGGATGTCGTTCAGGATCCTTCGAAAACGGATTGGATGCGTCTACCTAAGATGGAAAATCACAGAATAATCGAAACAAAAGACAATACACATTTTGAAGTAAACACTTGCGTGTGCGTTGTGCAGCACACGCGAAATGTTCTAACCGCTGGTAGGAAACAAAGCAAGCGGAAAAAACAGTTAGGCATAGGAGATGACATTAATCTGAAATCTCCGGAACTAACTGTTTTGGTAGCTTCCACATCCTTCGGATCGAGATTTCCAATACGATATTCTTCCAAGATCTCCATCACCTTGAACAAATGAACTTCGATTTTTGTACTTTTTGATTGGCAGACGTAAAATCACCTCTGCCGTTTTGTGCTGGGCATAGAGAGACCAGTAGGGGTCAACAGCACCACCAGCAGCTAATAAAATTTTATCGCCACCAGGATGTAGCTTGTGGAACTCGGTGATGTCATACACTCCCTAAATGCTCAACAGTATGCAGTAAATACAATGAGAATCTATTTTAGCATCTTTCACTATGTACACTCCAATCCTTAACACGTTGACGACAACGCACGTTTTGGCTTTTTTGACCGCGTGGGACCGGCGCGATTTTGCGAGCGCCGCCGCCTCAGGTCCATCGAGCGAATTTTGCGTGATAAATGTAAAAAACAAGATTGATACGGAATCAGATTAGTATTTTTCAGTCTGCAGAAACGCCCTAGAGGTGCAGTAGTAAGAATTTATCGAAATACGAATGAAGTAACGGTGAAAAAGCAAAATTTGTCTGAATTGCCTGCATTGGGCGTCAAAGGCAATTTAGCATCGATGTTTCTAATCAAAACATATCTTGTCCCGTTCAGGTTCCGTATTGACTTATACCACTATTTCGACATTCACATTAAATGAAAAGAAAATGCAAACAAAAAATCAACCAGACTGCGGTTTTCAGAAAACCTCCTCCAAAGTGAAGCATAGGTGACCATTCTGGGAGCCGCTATGTTTGTATCTATGCTAAGGTTTGCTCCATAGAATGGATACAAGAGACCTATAAATGAATCACGTGTGCGCGAAAATAAATGAGTGCATTGGGTGCAGGACGCATACGTCCCGCGTTGTCCGTCGTGGCCTGCAAAAGGCGGGACGTATGTGTCCTGCGCTGTCGTCAACGTGTTAAGGAAGAATCACCATGACCCGGTTTTGTGGGGATTCCTCTAGTGGATGCAGTTGCTGGATCCGTTACTGCAAAAATCGTCAAGTTCACTGCCTCGGAACGCGTTACTAAAACCGTGGGACTTGGCACCAGAGTCAGCCTCACATCGTGCTGATTTCTGGAAAATTTACGATCCTTCTTCACTGACTGGCTAGCGATACGACCCAAGCCCCCCCCCCCCCCACTCTCCCCCTCCACTCCCTTAGCAACTGAAAGCATTTCAAGAACCTGGAGAGCGCCCATCAATATGTTCGCGGCTACGTTGCGTGTTTTGCAATCCTCCTTGGTCATTTGTAGAGCTTTGGTCTACCACAGATTTAATTTTAAGACTTTTAAGACTATACACTTTTTAGTGTTTAACGCCTCATGCCTACTGTTGCTGCATGGATGTTTCATCCATTATACTGAGTGTGTGCAACGTTATTCTTGAGTAGGCCCGTAAAAATATTAGGTCATCTCATTCAAACATGTCCAGACATCTAGAGAAATGGTGGGAAAAGTAAAAGAGCTAGAGCATTCTACTTGCTTTTGCTTTTAAGCTAGCACACCCAGCTACGGTATACCCTAATTTAGTTTATAGTGCTGCAGGAGGAAACACTTAAACACATAAAAGAATTCATAGTGACCCAAATCGAGGTGGAATTTCCAGATGACTGGTGACACACGTGAAATTCGCAACTCGAATTCTCTGTGTGCTGGCTCAACTTACGCGTGATACAGTGTTCTCGAAGTGCTACGTTGAAGATATGGTGTGAGAGCTCAAAGAAGGGAGAACGGAAGCGAGTTGTGGTTGAGGACGCGTTCATATTGTCCACCTTCCCCAAGAAGAGCGGGTGGATGAAATGAGGTTTCAAATGGCGCATCACAGATGTTGAACCTTTGCGATGTTTGCCCACGAGACTTGCAGTCTAGCTGCACCTGTTACGCAAATTGTGCCCAAAAATTGGGGATGGTCCACAGAACATGTTTTTGGATATCCCATTTACTCCCAGATGCAGGAGTCCAGAATCGAATTGGTGTCTGTAGCAATGATTTTCTCTGCCGATAACGGCATTTAAGACTATCAAACTGGACCCTGCTCATAAACGAAATTTGTGTGTAATTGTTGTACCTGAGGCCTAAGTCAGAAGTGTCAACTTTGGATGAACGCGAATGAGGAACTACCCGAATTGGATCACGAGAAGTCACGTGGGTTCACGTGGATGATTATTATGGCGATGGATTTCTGAGATGTGCCTCTTAAATGGCTCTGTCGGGAAAAAACCTCCGGCGTTTCTCAAGTGTATGGCTTGTTTCTTAGCGAACAAATTGACAAAGGAATAGCAGTATAAAACTACAATAACGATATCATCACCTATGTCGACGCCAGACCCCACATAGCTCATATTGCTCACGGGTATTTCGACCAAACGGATATTGTGACCTCTTCTTATCAGCCGTATTTTCCCAACTGCAGCCGTGCGACCTCAGCTGTTTTATCGAACTGAACGCCCTACTCGTTGGGAAGCGCTACGACAATTCGTTGATCATCTATACTGACATCAAAAGCATCTTGTCTATACTTGTTGAAATGAAAGAAGCTGCGCGGTGTCCAGTGTTTTCTAGACGCTGGGATCGGGTCGTTAACAACGACAAGATCTGCTTGACTTCACACCAAAGTATTAGCTTTTTATCTTTCCTGCTGTTCATTTTATTCGAATAAAACCGTGGACATGTTTGAATGAGATGACCTAATATAAATAAATAAATAGAAATGATATATTCTGCTACAGGACTGACCGGTCCAACGCGATTAACTGTTCAAAGATGTTTTGGTTAGAACAAAAACGACGTAGTGTCTAAAAAATTACAGAATTTTATGCTTTAGATAAAGTATCCGAACGCTGATCATCTAGCCATCGACTCACAAAATATTGCTTCCCCCAAAAGTTTCTTTGATGAGCCGTGAGGTGACGGTTGCCCCCCCCCCCACCCACCCGAGTCCCTTTCACCATGATCGTATCATTCGGAAAAACATCGAGCTTTTGAGCGAGACAGCGATGTCATCGGCGCTCTAACAAATCAATTATATGATCTTTTGCAGAAGTGCTTTCAACAAATATTATATGATCCGTTGAACTTTGATCCGAGTGAACGTTTTGCTCCGAGATGCGCCACGAACTCTCGTTTGGGTAAAAGGCGCTAACGCATTTGAAAAAATATTTCCCTCACCTATGGATTGGGTGGGAAATCATTCTAATCGTAATCGCGTACCACTGCAGGCGAGATTCCTGCGCATCTCTCCCCACCCGCCGGGGTTGGTCAAATACGACCCTTTATCTCTGCACTGTTCTCTCTACTTACAACTTGGATCCTCGTACGCCCCATGGATCTATGCACGCCCAGCATGGCGGTATCTCACCTGTGTGGTGACACTGATGCGCCCTCCCGTCTCTATTCTTTTTCTCTTCCCTCGGCGCCCATCACTTTTATCTCGCTGCCTGTCTCTCAGAATCCTCCAGGGCGATGAAGAAGAAGGCTAGTATCGGGATTTTTGATGATTTACATTTGTTAGCGATCCACATCGCATGAATGTTCTCAAAGAGAATTCCATTATGATCAAGGGTGTGCCTTCAATCGATATACTCAGGTCCAATTCAAACCAGTTAGAAAAAATGGTACGTGATTCAGACTGGGAAACGACCACTGACTAGGACCATACGGTGGGGCATAGCAAGGTGACGAAATCAAGCCTCAAGGCACGCAGGCATGCAACACTAAAGGAGGATTCCACGATAAGAACGAAGGTCGAAGAAGGGGAAATTTACCTAGTGGAGAGACAGGCGGACCCCCTAAGGGTGCGGACCAACACACAATTCGCATCGAAGATATGCCTCGGCGATCTAGCATGGCCTTCCCTTTGGCGCAGTTGGCGGGAACGCCCACCGACTATCTAATCACTCGCCGCAGGTATACGTGGCGAGTGATTAGATAGCAGAGAGAGCGTAGTGTTGAAGAGGGCACAGCGATGAGAGTCGCATCAATGCGCAAATCAACGGGCAAGGAAGGGGTCCCATTTCTCGGGTTTCGGGCCGTTTCAATGGTTTCTTCTTCATCCCTGCTCCACTACCACCTCTACCCTTATTTCCAATGAGCTACTTTTCATCGCAAATTCTGCCTTCAAGCAGAGCTATCAAATGAGCCACTGAATCAATCACATTGTTCGGCTGCCTTTCACATGCGATTCTACTTTACTTTCAGGATTTTGGGATCTCACTAGGTGAATGGTCTCCATATAAACAAAACAAAAGCGATTTGTAGCTTTGTGTGTCTCCTACCGAATTCCTTTTAAGATCTAGCGTATTCTAAAGTCCACACAGAAAAAAAAACTCATAACGACGGCAGATGAACGAGTGAGAATAATTCACTAAGGGTGGCGTTTATTTTTTGTTTAGAGCAAAATTATCCTTTGAGCAGAGAACAGACTCTCAAACGTTCTTAAATGTAAAGAAGAAAGCAAAATGAGAAAGTCAGAGATATGTTTATTCTGTACGCTCTCTCTGCAGATAGTGAATGCGACGCTTGATGCTTTTCTAAGGCAATGAAGCATAAAAATGCAAGCTAGTATCCATACGCAAATCTCGGAGAAGCCTTTTTCAAAAAATCATTCGCAGAAAAGATTCACCAGTAACAACTTGCCGGCCATGATTATGTCCTCAATCTGTATTCTCTTGTGATGAATAATCCATGAAGAAATGTCATAGCAATTTGGATCAAGTCATCCAATTTAATTCTAGTCATTGCTCTGTGTGTCCATAAGGGGATAGGTGGATTTACTGAGACCGTGACTGTTTTCAATAGGTTGTCAACAGGAAGCATATGGGGAGAAGGCGATAGCCACTACACCATTTATTTGCATGTTCGGAGAGCAAACAGACCCAAACTTCGCGATGCATTTGTCCAAGACAGTTGGAATAACGGTTAAAATTTCCACATGCTATGAGGCGATGTATTCATTATCATTAAGTCATTAATTTGAGCTATAATCATACTAATATACGACATGGTTTGTTTGTCTGTCCTTCCCAAATTCGCGAAGTGTATTCAATGCTTGTTAATTTTTGCTTAAAAAATCACCTAAGGAGGGCGGTGCAGCTTTTGGAATGAGTGAGCTGAATCATTCATGAAGGAATATAATTTCGTGGAAAATTCCGCGCCATTCATTGGGGTGCGCGTGTTCAATGGTGTTGGCAATTTTTTACGAAAAATACTTTCTTGTTCACAAAGTCTTGAGAAAAAAGGGGGCCTTGTAGAATAGCCCTCTAGAGGCTATATTGGTCCGAGAAAATTGCCAAGCAGGAGGGGCAATGGTCCATAGGCAATTTTGGTGAAAAAAAATTATTTTTTGTTTACCGTAACGCGCGCAGAGAACTTGTATTATAATAACTGGAATTAACCTCAGCTTCAGCTGTTGAAAGACATGAATAGGATTCGAGGTTAAATAGGCGTTAAAAACTCAAGGCCAGATGTTTTGTAAGCATCATTAGAAGCAATGACAAAAACTACCGAAATCATTAGTCTGTGTCACTAAGGGACAGTGGAATGAAGACGTCTCTGAAATGTCAGCTTTTGATGTACAGATGCACAATTACACCTGAACATATAATAAGGTAATTAAGTCTTATACTCACTGTTTTGTATGTCACCCAAATTGTTTCGGAGCCTTTTCCATGTTTCTTCACATCCTCCTTTTTGAACACAGGAAGATCTTTCCTTTCCGGTGGTGACAACTCTTTTTCTGTTAAGGGTGTTCCGCGTGAGGAACAGACAGCGAAGTTGAGCAATTACGTAACGATATACCAGACACAGGACGATTGCGATGGCACAATGGCAGCGAAGGTCACGCATGAAAAGAATAGTTTTGGACTCCCACTTGCGATTACGCCACTGTGAGACCGTGAAAAGCTACCGTTCCTGGATGGCTGAACTATTAAATTTTGTGCAGCATGCGTAACGCGGGTTGCATGGTGTTTGCGCTTTCACGCGATTTTTTTCCATATTGACTCCTACTTCAAAAATCAACGTTTGACGACCCAGACGTAAGTTTTACAAGGGAGAAGAGGCAAATACCACATTTTTCCTCCAGCTTCATCAAACAGTTGGAAAAGAAACTCTGATAAACAATATAAAAAAAGAAAGGAAAGAACGCCACCACCAGAAAATTTGAAGGCACAAACGACCCTGAAACTGCATGAGAAGCTTTCATACGAAGCATACACAGCTTTGCCAGGCGAAAAGGATGCTATTTTTGCCACAACCAAATCCCCTTTTATAGTGATCTTATATTTTCTGTCTAAACAAATAACCAGTGATAGTTGTTGCTAGATGTGTGTAGTTGTCGTTCCACATATCAACTGCTCAAGAGAAACAGATGATCTCCGGTTCATCATCACAAAAGCGAAATCGCTCATCGTGGTTCGACGCGGTAGTGCAGCGCAGGATGGACTCAGTCGTTGTTTGAACGGCGTTAAAGGCATCAGGGAGAAGTATTGTTAATGGCGTTCAGTAATGAAGCTGGAGTGGGGCAGTGGTGGGAAAGACAAAGAACCAGAGAAACGCAGTTCGCCTCTGACAAGGTCCTACGTGTTACCAGTAACACGGGGGTCGTCTGGTTTTAGTTTGTAGAGGGGTGTCTCACTTTAAGTTGCTCGAAATCAGGGGTGGGATTGAGGAGAAACTAAGATTTCGTGGGTTGATGTGGGTTGAGTAGGTTGTGCGAGTAGAGGGCGCGCAAGATAAAAATTTGCGTTTCAGCCGGTGTATATACCCCCCCTAGAAAAGGAAACAGGATTATAGTGGAAAATTTTTACTGTTTCAGAGGGACTATACCCTTGGGGGAGGGGGGTCGTAAAAATTTTTCGAAAAGTAACAACGATAGGGTTGACCCTGGCCCTGAATGAGAGCTCTTCACGATAGCCGCTTCAACTTGGCTACGAAAAGAGGTGTATTGGACTAGTTTTCAGCAAACTAGGCTTAGCTGCTTCGCAAGTTGCAATAACAATGAGGCATGCAAAGCATCCGCTTTTCTGCGCAGCGTCACTGACAGCCGACGCCGAGGAGAGCTGTCTTTTCCAAGAAGAATTCACTTTGAAGCAACAGTCCCAGCAGGGTTTTTACCTTCGACACTAATGGTGTGGAACGATGCGCTCGCCCTAGTCAAGAACGTAAAAGTGTGATTGTACAAAAAACTCATCTTGGAAAGCTGCTAGAAAGAGAGCTAACGGCTCCGAAGTGGGCGTGGTTGGAAATCGGCTGCAATCGCCTCGGCTAATTTCCAACCACACCCACTTCGGAGCCGTTCAGCTCCCTTTCTAGCAGCTTTCCAAGATCAGTTTTTTGAGCAATCATACTTCTTGGTTATTGACTAAGGCGGCGCATCGTTCCACACCATCACTGTCGGAGGTAAAAACCCTGCTGGAGACTGTTGCTTTAAGTTGATCAAAACGCTCAGTTGCAACGTGGACCAATTTATCAAGTTAGCGATCGCAGCGCGTGCTATTTTGTCAACAGGGTCTCATCGTAATGTTTACCAGCATCTGAATGTTCTACCAGTAAGAAGTAAGGCAAGTACAGCATATCAAGTCATAATGTGGATTCGAACGCCTCAAGGAGAGTGTGAGTTCTGGTGTCAAACCGTGTGCACAGTACATATCTGCACACATATGAAAGATCGTTTACAGCCTTTAAAATGTACTATTACGATCTCAGGCACGTACACTGATCATACACAACGTCGAAAAAACGACACTCAGTTCCAAACAATTCGCACGCACTATAACACGAAACAAGTTCAAAATTGTCGCCGAAGAAAAAACCGCCCAAACCAACCCCTGCCTCCTTGCTGTGATCCGCTTGTACTGCCTGTCTCTGCGATTGACTAAACTAAGACTTTAGCTGACTGCACGCACCAGTTTTTTTCCCTCCGGGAAAGACGCGAAAGCATATCTGAAACCAACAAACATAAGAAGAACCACAAGACTATACAGTCATTAAGACGAAGACAGACGAATGCACTAGTGTACAGCTATGTATGTTATAGCAGGCCGTACAAGAACTGGTTTTGTTCTTCAACTGCGCGTGCAGACGGCAGTGACGAAATTATTGTCCCTCTTGAAATTGCAAATATTCAAAACTAGCAGAAAAGGTCTTGGTCAGTCTGGCCGTTTAGCATATAATATGTACCAATATAAAAACATGAGTGATTAATTTCGTTAACCGCGAACGATTTCTGCAAATTATGAGGCAGGAAGCGCACAAACAGTGATGATATGGACTCACGGCAGGCGGTGTCGTATAACTTCGTATAATGTATGCTATACGAGCACGTACTTTTCGGAAACACCTTCAAAGCCTTTCTAGCCGTATTTCTAAAAAGAGCAAAAGTAAGGACTCGCATTGGAGTCGATCCTACGCCCTCTTGCCTGTGAATCGGAGTCACTACCGCTGTGCCTTCCTGCTTCAAAAACGAGTTCAGAAAATCGTTCCACAAATAACGGTAACAGATTTAAACTCACAGTCTTGTGCACAAATATGGTACACATCTCATCCTGAATGACCACATTGACCAACTGGCCTTCCCCTGGATGCGCAAAGATCAAAGGGTGTCGCTTAGGCTGACGGAAGGGCACAATAGTAAGGATTACAAAGTGATAACCTTTTGTAAGCCAAAGGTTCAAAAGCCTTCGCGCATGTTATGCGCAGACAAGTGCATGGCGCATCTTAGAGCACATGGATATGCCGCAATATGGTTCAAATTGGATTGATCGCTAGCGAGATCTACGAGGTTTTCTGACCAAAACAAATGCAGGAAAGGCGAATTGGGCGAGTTGACCTCTCGAGGCTCAGGAAATTTTCGAAGAGAGTACATGCGAGCCGCGAATTCTGAAATTCGGACTCGGCGCATCTCATAAGCACAGATCTCGTGGTGAGGAATACTAGGCAACACTGTCAACGTGCACAGAACAAGCAAGTTGCAAGACAAAGTCCAACAAGGGGGTGGGGGTGGAAAAAGGGGGGGTCGTATTTCGCGAGGTGGCGAGGTAGCGTCAATGTTACAGTAAGGGAAGGGATTTTTTTATGGAACGGAGAGTGGATTCTTGTAGGCTGGGCTTTTGGGTTGAGTGCGAAAATTTTGCCGTTTCCGTTTACGTTTGATATACCCCCCCCCCCCCCGCTCGACGGCAATCAATTTTCAATTTTGGAGGGAAAAGTGGGCGGCTGTGTCGACTGGTCTCAGAATCAAATACTATAGAATCCCCCATGATGGCGATGGCAGGCGAGGGTGGTGGAGGATGGTCGTGAAGGGTTAACCCTGAGGGGGGGTCGTATCGAGGCCCTCTAGAAGGGGGAGGGGGGTTTTCGAAATTGGTCCAACGTGACGGTTGACCTTGGTCCCAAATCTGGAATGAATTGTATTCTGCTCGAGGAACGACAATGCTACTAGTCAGTGGTTGAAGGCGATTACCTCAAGAAACCTGTATAACCAAAATGGCAGCGACTCACGAGGTTTACAAAGAATACTTGGAGGTTGGGGACTAAAAGCAAGGAGCGCCGAGCTTAGAGAGTCCTTGACCTAATAACAGCTCATGACCTTGGATCTGCAGCAAAAAGGAAACCCCGCAAGGAACTCATAGCAGAAGAGGCAGCCAATTGGAAATTGACCGTGTTGTAGCTCGAAAATCTGAAGGACACCAGGAGCCTCGAAGAAGAACTGGCTCCTCACCGTGGGCTTTTCCAAGCAGGCACTGCCACAGGGATAAAAACGGAGGTGAAAATTCGGTGTAGGTGCTGCACCTTGAGGAGAGGGAAGATCTCCAACGAAAGATATTGGGGGCTGGATTCACAGATTCTCACGGTCCTGGAAAAATGCGGCTGAGGTCAACCTTTAATGGCAAAGGACATAGGCAAAAAAGGAGCAGGAACCAGGGGAGATAAAGCGGCTTGGTTTTGAAGGATGTGTACAAGCGCTGGTCAGAAGACGCGAGCCCCGAGTGACCTCGCCGCCTCCAAAATTTGCAAGAAGAGCGCCAAGGAAGCCGCAGTGGAAAAACGAGGAGATGGATGTTCTTTACAAGAAACCGTGAACCCAAGATGAGGTCAAGCTCGTCTTCCAAATGACTAAACTAAGAGCAGCGCAACTCGTAACATCACGATAGTGAAAGCCATAAGAATAAATGACATCGTCGTCCTGAAGAAGCCAGCTGAAGTTATGAGGAGGTGAGAGATACTAAAAGAGGCGGTGCAACGAAGAGCGTTTCCGTAAGAACGTCCTTCTAGTAGAAGCGATGGCTCGTCACACTTCGGACAGAAGATGAGGACGAGTAAAAAAGTTGAGAAGGCGGTTGTTCTAACAGGGGCCCGATCGAGGCACGGAGTCCACTCTAAGGACACAGGTGTGATGGTTCACCTGGTTCCTGAAGACGAAGGAAGCAAAGTTCCGTGAAAAATGCAAGATACCTGCGCAACTTCATCTAGAAGCGGAATGCAAAGGAGCGTTCCAAATACCGTGGGACCAAAGACTGCGTATAACAAGAAGTTTTTGAACGGTAAGTAGACTCGAGACTAAAAAGTGTACAACGTGTTTTTTGCCGAAGAAGTTGATGGAGAACTATGAAGGAAGCGTCTACCCATCCTACCAATTCTCGAGAAGGCACCGACCCGCGCTCCATAGAGCGCTCAGAGAACGGAACGCTACAATCTTTTATGAAGGACATTTGATGGGGCCAACACGACTATACCTACCACGCACGGCTTAACAAATGGGGTAGACATAACAGATGGGTATACAAAGAAGCTGAGTATGTTCTTCTGACTGCCAACACTGGATGTTAAGGAAAAGTGGTATGGATGATCCGCTGAGAGCTATTATGTTGAACGACATAGACACTGTAGTGGTTAATAAAGAAAAGCTGGTAAAGGTGTAAAAATGGAAAACCGCCTTTTCAGAGGGTGCACTCGAGTTGAATATGAAAAAAAACTGAATTAGTGAGCTCCGAAAAGAGTAGTACAGAGTCGACTATGAACCATGAGAAAGAATCGGAAGAGTAGAGGACCCCGGATCTTGGTAGACATGTCATGCGCCGGTGGTAGCACGGACCACGTCGTAATGTAGCGGATAGATCCTGCAAAAGTGGATCTATCGAAAGCGCTCCTTGACGCTATGAGAGATGATGTAAAGGAGAGTGGCATGGCCTGCGATGCTCTACAGTAGCATGTGCTGACCAGTGGGGAGGAACCACGGGAGAAGCTTCACTCTGCTGAGGATG